GGGGGGGTGGTCTGGGGTGGGACCTCTCCTTTGCGTGAGTTTCTGAATAGTTTCTGCGTTGGAGAGGCCGGCTGGGGAAAGACTTGGGGGTGCTTTGAAGCGCTCCCTGTCCGTTTGGGGGGGGTGCCTTCCTGACCCTGGAGCCCCCAGACCAGGCTGTGTGGGCCAGGGGTGATGGGGGAATGCAGTGCTAGACATCAAGAGGGCGCCCCACTTAAGGGCAGTGTTTTGGGGAACTCTCTCCATTAAGGGTTCTGTGAAGCTGATTGGGAACATGTTTCTGACCCAGAGTGTTAATGGTTGCTGACTTGGGGTGCAGAATTCAGTTTTTGGGGTGCTGGGGGGGTGTCTATTGTTGTTTGCCCTAAGGTGGCTTTCCCAAAGAATTTATTTTGCTCCTCCGTTGTTTTTCCTCTGATCCATGATCTTCCTTGGGGGGGTTTCGGCCTCAGCATAGCTTGAAGTCGGTTCCCCTCTCCCCACAGCCCAATTTGATGCCCTGCAGATGCCACGGACTGCAGCTCCCATCCTCCTGCATCCCAGCCCGATGGGAGTTATAGTCCAAGAGCTCTAAACAATATCAGGATGTGGGTTGCGGCCTTCTTGTGCGAGGAGAGAGGGATATATATATAAAAAAACCCACAAAACTGAATGCTACACATTGTTTAATGTTACGGTGTGTGGTTTAGAACCTGCCTGAGGCTCTTGGGGAACCCTAGGCTGCAAATAAATTGGATTTTTCCCCCAGATGAATTGATCTGCCATCCCTCTCGTCTCACCCGTGACCCTGTCCCTCAAACAGCTACAATTCCCAGCCGGGCAGGTAGGGCTCACCTGTCTCCCACCTGGGCTGCTTGGAAAGTTCGAAAGATTCCCCTTTGCTGCCTTTCAAAGCTGCTCCCTGGCCCCCCCCCAAAAAAGTTTACGGTTCTTTTTTTAGGAATTCCCAACTCCAGCCCTGTAATAAGAAGGGTGGGTGGTTTTTATATCAAGGAGGAGATGAGCTTTTCCCCATCTGTAGGATCTGTTAAAGCGATAAAGGCAATTTTAGGATGTCGCTGGACAGTTCCAGAAAGTCAGAATCCGCTATCTGGAGTCTGTTGTATAGTAATTTCTATTTGTTTTCCTTCCTTCTTTCCCTACCCCCCTCTCCTTCCTCTCTTCCTTCCTTTTCTCCCTCTTGTTCATCCCTTCCTTTTCCTTCCTTTTCCTTCCTTCTTCCCTTCCTTTACTCCTTCCTTCCCTCCCTCTCTTTTCTCCCTTCCTTCCTTCCTTCCGTCTGTCTTTCTTTCTTCCTTTTCTCACTCTTGTTCATCCCTTCCTTTTCCTTCCTTCTCCTTCCTTCCTTCTTCCCTTCCTTTACTCCTTCCTTCCTTCCTTCCCTCCCTCTCCTTTCTCCCTTCCCTTCCTTCCTTCCTTTTCTCCCTCTTGTTCATCCCTTCCTTTTTCTTCTCCTTCCTTCCTTCCTTCTTCCCTTCCTTTACTCCTTCCTTATTTCCCTCTCCATCCTCCCTTCCTTCCTTCCTTCCTTCCTTCCGTCTTTCTTTCTTCCTTTTCTCACTCTTGTTCATCCCTTCCTTTTCCTTTTCCTTCCTTCCTCCTTCCCTTCCTTTACTCCTTCCTTCCTTCCTTCCATCCTTCCTTCCCCTTTTTATTCTGTTTCCTCTTCTTCCTTCAACGTCTGGGCCTTCCTCTCCCTTTGGCCTGTTCACAAGACCATTTCTCTCCTCTTTTGCCCCGGAGGACCCATCTCCCAATCCAGCTGCCTCCGGAGGGCATGGACCACAACTCCCATCCTCCTCCCCCTCCTCCCTCTCTTTGGCCCATCCGTCCTCTTAACAACCTCCAGATCCCTGGGGATTCTTAATTTCCTCTCCTTCCCGTTTCCCTCTGACTTCATCGTTCCAATTAAACTGCAATTACAGCCTCTTTTCCTTGGCTCCGCGCTCCGTTCGTTCAAGGCTGAGACTGTCTTTGGTGGCTAATTGACTGAGCAACAGAACCCAGATCCTAACTGGAGTAAAGGCGCCACGTGCCACAAATAATGTTTGGAGTTGCTGTGTTGGCATAACCGAACTCAGCTTGAGAGGCATTTGGAAAGTAAACATGTCATTTCAAGCAACTGGCTGAACCTCTTGGCCTTCTGCTGATTTTTCTAGCCGGTGCAGAGAGAGAAAAAAAATGAGCGGGATTCGGGGGCGTAAAATTCCAATTATAAGGAATTTGGTTAAAAAAAAAAAGGAAGGGAAAAAAAAGTCTCTAGAAATTCTGGAACCGCTGAGGTCAATTCGATTTGCGGATCGCGTAGGGAGGCAGCCCCCCATGCAGCTGTTGAACAGTTGTGGATTGGAGACCTAGCACTCTGATGTTTGGACCGAGATGTCTACACTTGGTGGTGACCTTTCCTTTTCGCACGGGGGTAAATTCTAGGTTCAATCACGTTCGAAAAAGAGCTAGGGGGCGGGGAAAGTATCTTGATGTGAGCCATTGGGAAAAACAGACTTCCCTTAAGACTATACGGGGAGGCCTGAACGCGCTGGACAGCTCCCATAATCCCCAGCCAGCTGGTTATGTGTCTTGGGAGTCCAAAGCTTCTGGGAAGAGAGGGCAAAAGGGAACTCTGATCTGCCATAATGGTTTCTCACGTTTTTTTTAATCTCCGGCATCTTAATACGTCGTGCTTCTTGAGGCTACCCAATTTTTTTTTATTTTGAAGTCGCAAGTGGGTGGATTTGAACCCAGAGCTTCAGTTTTTGGGAAGAACCAAAATCCCTTTTACCCTCCCCTCCCTTCCCAGGTGCGCCACGGATCACAACGTAGACAACACCACGCAAATGCTGCGGGAATGGCTCAGCGCGGTGGAAAAGCATTACCGGTCTGTCGTCTGGAGATCCGTGGAAGAGCCCAGGTACGTTTGTCTGAGGCCTTGAAATGGAGCCTCTCTGGACAGAGGCAGTCTATCCCTCCCTGAGCCGAGCGCCTCTTTCTGAATTTTCCAAATGGATGCACAGAAAAATTCCACGCTGTGGAATCCAAATTTTCCCCGGAGGCAAAATATGTGTAACTCTTCCCTGACAAAATGTGGAATGTAGGGGAACCTGATAAAAAAAAAAATTGTCTAGCTTCCCCATTCCGATTCTTTTGCCCTTTTTTTCCCAGCTCTTATCCCAACGAAGTGGGACCCAAACACTGGACGGAGCCGCGCTTCGAACAGATCATGAGGCTGAAGCAGGAAGCCCTCGCCTTTGCTCGGGGGCAAGAAGCCGGTTACATTTTGGTAAATCTGACCAGTGGGCAAAAAAAAGTTGCGCCCCCCCCCCGTCCCCATGGGCTAAATTCAGCCAAAGTCAGAGTGGTGCCCTTGATTCAGCCTGCTGGCTGAATCTTCCCGTCCCGTTAAACCATGGTTTGGTGGATGCTTTGTGGGGGGGCACAACGTGTCGTGGGAAGCGAGAACGTTTAGGGAATTTTGAAGGAAAGGATTTGATGCGTTTTCATGCGTTTCTGTATGGGACCCCTGGTGCTCTCTGAGCTGGGCTGTTTTCTTGCAGACGTTTCATGACCCAACTAGGGAATATCATCAGTTCTAGAAAGAAGTGGAATTTGCTCTCTCTCCCTTCTGGCACTGAGGATGTTACCTAGTTGGGTCATGAAACGTCTGCAAGAAAACCACCAAGCTCAGAGAGCACCAAGGACCCCACAGTCTTCGTCGTTGTCGTCTTCCTCCTCCTCCTCCTCCTCCTCCTCCTCCTCCTCCTCCACAAACCCCATTTCCTTGTAACAGTGATGTTGTTACCTAACCTGTTAATGAAACGTCTGCAAGAAAACAACCAAGCTCAGAGAAAACCAAGGACCCCACAGTCCTCTTCCTCCACCAACTCTTCCTTTTCCTCCTCTTCCTCCTCTTCCTCTTTTTCCTTCTCTTCCTCCTCCTCCTCCTCCCCCCCCCCCCCCCCCCCCCCCCCCCCCCCCCCCCCCCCCCCCCCCCCCCCCCCCCCCCCCAAACTCTATTGCCTTCTAGTGCTCATGATGTTACCTAATTGGGTCATGAAACGTCTGCAAGAAAACAACTCAGCTCAGAGAACACCAAGGACCCCACAGTCCTCCTCCTCCTCCTCGTCCCCCCCCCCTGCAAAGCCAACTCCCTTCTAGCACTGATGATGTTACCTAGTTGGGCAATGAAACATTTGCAAGAAAATAACCCAGCTCAGAAAGCATCGACCCCACAGTCGTCATCCTCCTCCTCTTCCTCCTCCTCCTCCTCCTCCTCCTTTTCTCTTCTTCCTCCTCCTCCTCTTCCTCCTCCTCCTCTTCCTCCTCCTCCTCCTCCTTTTCTCTTCTTCCTCCTCCTCCTCTTCCTCCTCCTCCTCCTTTTCTCTTCTTCCTCCTCCTCTTCTTCCTCCTCCTTTTCTCCTCCACCTTCTCCTTTTCTCTTCCTCNCCTCCTTTCCTTTCCTTTCCTTTCCTTTCCTTTCCTTTCCTTTCCTACTTCACCTCCTTTTCTTTCCCTTCCCTTCACCTCCTTTCCTTTCCTCCCCTTTCCTTTCCCTTCCCTTCCCTTCACCTCCTTTCCTTTCCTTTCCTCCCCTTTTCTTTCCCTTCCTTTCCTCTCCTCTCCTCTCCTTTCCTTTCCTTTCCCTTCCCTTCCCTTCCCTTCCCTTCCCTTCCTTCTCAAGCTTTCTAAGAAAGAAAAAAAAGGGAAACAAAACGGTGACTTTTAAAGCAAGGCGGCTTCCTCTCTTGTCTCTTTTTCTCCCTTGCAGTCGATGGGCCTCCCATGTCCCGTTCCAAGCACCTCCACGTCCCCCCAAAACATCCAACCAAGATCGGGTTTGATGAGGTGAGGGAAAGAGCACCAAGCAGGTGTGCCTGCACTGGGCGACGTGTATGTGTGTGTGTGTGTGTGTGTTGGACTAGATGCCCTCTAAAGACCCTTCCCAATCTTAACGCCTCATCACCCCCCCCTTTTCCTCACAGGTGTTTCTTATCAACCTGGCCCGACGCCCGGACCGGCGGGAGCGCATGCTGGAGGCCCTTTTCGAGCTGGAAATAGACCCCTTGGTGGTTGACGCCATAGACGGAAGGTGGCTGATGGGTTACGTGGTCTTTTCCAACCTGAAAGGGCTCCTGGACTTTGGTCCTGGCCGAGAGGCAGATCGCAAGGCCGAGCTTTTGGTCGAAGGCTTTTGTCCGGGACGAAGCCTCCAGCTTCAGGAGCAGTCTACCCCTTAAGTGTCGCTTGGGACGCAAACGCCTTCCCAAAGTCTCCCAATCTCGCCAAAGGCACAATTGGGCTCTGTCTGGACCGCTTTCCCCACATCCTCACAACAATACTTTGATTATATAAATTTAAATAATAAATAATAAATAAATAAATTTTCTCTCTCTCCGCCAGAGCCCTAAACAGCAGCAGCATCAAGAAACTTGGCATCGACTTACTGCCCGGATATTACGACCCCTTTTCGGGGAGGACCCTCACCAAAGGGGAAGTTGGCTGCTTCCTCAGTCACCACCACGTCTGGAAAGAGGTCAGATCCTTGTTTGAACCTGGTTTGTCTTTCCTTTTCCAAACCAGGCGCCATCCTTGTGCCTTTGAGGCCGTCCCGGCGACCGGGATGAACAAAATCAGAACTAAACGTGACTTAGTTTCAAAGCATGTTTAATCTGAGGGGGGGAAAAAAAGGCTGCTAGTAAGATTATTCCTGGTCTATTATTCCTGTGCGTGTCATTCAGGTGGTCGAGAGGGGGCTGGAAAAATCCCTTGTGCTGGAGGACGATATCCGATTCGAGGCTTACTTCAAGAGGCACCTGGCGAAGCTGATGGACGCGTTGGAACGGACGCAACTCGATTGGGACCTGATGTACGTCACGTGGTTTGTGCGATTTGCTGTCTGTCAGAAATGGTGTAAGATCTCCTGCTTGGGCGGGGTGGGGCGGGTTGGACTAGATGACCTACAAGGTCCCTTCCGACTCTTTGTTTTTCTGGATTTTTGCCTGGACTGTGCTGAGGGAGGCTTCCTCTGTCTTGGGTATGTCTAATTTAACAAAAAAAAAAGGACTAGGGGAAGGTCTGGGAAAAAAAATTGGGAAAAACCAGTTTTTTTGGGGGGAAAAAAGAGATGATTTTGGGAAAAAAGGAAGAAGAAAAAAACCCAGTTTTGGACTAGATGACCTTCAGGGTCCCTTCCAACTCTGTTGTTCTGTTCTTCTCTCTTTTCAGCTACCTGGGCAGGAAACAAGTCAACTCCGACAAGGAGGAGGAGGTGGTGGAGATCCCCAATCTGGTGGTGCCCGAATATTCCTACTGGACNTTTTCAACTGCCATACTGCAGTTTACTCTTTTTACAATATCTCTTGCCTTGCCGCCCCCAACTAGGGGCATAGAGCAGGCTCAAGTCGCAACTGCGAAATATTTTTATATCCAAATTTCTTTTTTTCTGACAAAGAGTAAAGAATTAAATTGGGAGACTAAGATGGACCATTTCTGGCTTTTTTGCCTTCATCAGTTAGTCAGTGATTTAGTCACTGAGCCACAGGTTCTCTTCCCCTCTTTGCCAGCAGAGTCAAGGGAGTAATTATAGGGAGTTCAGACAGATTGGTCTGATTGTGAACACCTTGACATTTTCAACGGCAAGGCAAGAGATATTGTAAAAAGAGTAAACTGCAGTATGGCAGTTGAAAATGTCAAGGTGTTCACAATCAGACCAATCTGTCTGAACTCCCTATAATTACTCCCTTGACTCTGCTGGCAAACAGGGGAAGAGAACCTGTGGCTCAGTGACTAAATCACTGACTAGTATGTATAACTGCCCAGGTTCGAATCCCATAAAGGGTATGGCTAACTGATGAAGGCAAAAAAGCCAGAAATGGTCCATCTTAGTCTCCCAATTTAATTCTTTACTCTTTGTCAGAAAAAAAGAAATTTGGATATACAGTATATGTATGTATGTATGTATGTATGTATGTATGTATGTATGTATGTATACATACATACAGTATATATATATCGCTGTTGCCTGGTTTTCTCAGAACGGAATGACAAGAGTGGCAAGGGACCCTGGAGGTCATCTAGTCCAGCCCCCTGCTCAGGCAGGAGACACTACTAGGCCGTTTCAGACAACTGGTTGTCCAGTCTCTTCTTGAAGACCTCCAGTAATGGGGCAGGGAGGGAGGGAGGGAGGGAGGGAGAGGAAGAAAGAGAAAGAGGAAGAAAGTATGGTAGGTAGGTAGGTAGGTAGGTAGGTAGGTAAGGAAGGAAGGAAGGAAGGAAGGAAGGACGGACTATGGGGTCCTAGGTACCCTCTGAGTTTTGTGGTTCTCTTGCAGCCGTTTCATCACCAAACTAGGTAACATCATGAATGCCAGAAGGGAAGGGAATTTATGGAGAGGAGGGAGGGAGGGAGGGAGGGAGGGAGGGAAAGAAAGAAAGAAAGAAAGAAAGAAAGAAAGAAAGAGGGAGATAGATAGATAGATAGATAGATAGATAGATAGATAGATAGATAGATAGATAGATAGATAGAGGAAGGAAGGAAGGAAGGAAGGAAGGAAGGAAGGAAGGAAGGAAGGAAGGAAGGAAGGAAGGAAGGAAGGAAGGAAGGAAGGAAGGAAGACCGTTGTTAGGGGGGAAAAAACCAGGAGGTGGCTTGGGAAGTGTTTAATCTGATTTTTTTCCCCCTCTCCATCCAGGAGCTGAGATGTTCCTGTGCAACCAGGAGCGGTTCGGCTACATCAACGTGCCGATGGCGTCGCACCAGACCCTGGAAGAGGAACAAACCCAGTTTGTGCATCTCATCCTGGAGGCCATCGGTTGGTGTAAAGGGGGCTGCAGGCGTTTTGTCCCTAATAGAGCCTCGGGGGAAGGATTACGCTAGCTTTCCCCTTGTGTGTGTGTGTGGGGGTGTGTGTGTGTGTGGAGCTGGTGTCCTGCTGTGGTAAACGTAACTTAAAATGCCAGCCAGGATTTAGGTTAACCAAGGACGAATATTTATAATTGAACTTGGATGGTGGGTTTTGAGGATTGGAATGGCGCTGTGATTTTGGAGAGGGCTTGAAGGGGTGCGAAATGTAAGGCCAGACATTGAGGCTGCATTTTTGTTTTATTTGTGTAAAAATCTTACTGGGTTGAAAAAAGTTGGCGTCTCTCATTTTTTTCTCTGTCCTCATTTCCTTCCTTCCTTCTTTCCCTTCCATTCCCTTCCCTTCCCTTCACCTCCTTTCCTTTCCTTTCGTTTCCCTTCCCTTCACCTCCTTTCCTTTCCTTTCTTTTCCTTTCCTTTCCCTTCACCTCCTTTCCTTTCTTTTCCTTTCCTCCTCTTTCCTTC